GCCCGTTGATGGACCCGTGCAACTGCAAGTAAGCGACCAAAGAGAAGACTCCATATTACTGATTTACAGCAAGATATATGTCTGTAATCATGTCCATAGCCGGCAACTTATCAAGGCTGAACTACAGACACGGCGCGACCGAAGCATGCTGCAAAAGGACTTGCTATCTCCTCGTGGCAGTGGTCATGGCTCTATCTAGAAAGTGGAGTTTGTTCCGTCCATGTTGGGCGTTCTTTCTCTTCGTACCTTTGGCTCACGGCGATGGTGTTAGTGTCCACCTCGGTCAACTCAAATGACTTGATCAATACTTGGTATCTAGACATTGGGCATACGCATCCCCACTGCCAGCGACACTTCCCGACAACGTTATAGTGTGATAAAGCTACCGTGACAAGACACAGAATATGGTATTGGGTTTGCACCACCATTTGGAGGTCAGAGAGGTTCCGTGCATATTCGACAAGTTGATGGGCGCTTACAAGCAAACTATGGCTGGCTGGCGAGCTAACATTGGCTGAGACCGCTCCTCTGCCCAGAGAACAGCATGCCGTTGGCTTTGGTCTGCTTTGAAGACAATAATGCTAATGCTAATGCTAATGCAGGGCCGGTCCGTCAAGCGCTCGGTGCTTCGCCTGTCATCCAAACAAACCATGACCCCAGAGGCCATCAAGCCAGGGCTCGGTGAGTTGAGGGCATTTCCCCGGACTTGACAAGACAAATCGCGTCTATACTGACTAGGGCTGTCGGCTGCTGGCTATTGATCGTTCATTCTATGTCATGCATGGAAGTGGACCAGTATAACATGGGAGCTGGTGTGACAGTCAAAGCCAAGGCCGCAGGAAGATGCCCTGCATGATAGTTCTTTCGTGGGGGCGGCCAACTCCAAATCCCGGCCTTTCGCATATTTACACAAGTCCCCGCGGCTGTGAGAGGCTGTTGCTCTACTTCAGGCGCGGTGACACGGATAAACGCTTCAGTTCAACCACTCAGTAAGAACCCCGTGACGACGTAGGATGCACCCACCCGGGCGTTGCAGAGACAGCCGCGGCGCGGCGCAGGTTTGGCGCTGCTGTTAGAAGTTCATGGCCTGAATGGTCATGCGCTACATTTGTCACTGCCCAACAACACGTTATACACTTGCGTTTGCATGGGAGTCTGGCAGGGATTGGGGGGTCTCTTCCTCTTACCCAACTTGGTCAATGGCCCAATGCATTGCGCATGGATTCATGGATTGCTCCGGCGAATATGAGATCTGAACGAAGCCAGCGAATCTGCAATCCATGCTGGTGTAGAAGACACGCACTTTCATTTCCGCCTTCTCCTGAGAAAACCTTGAAAGCCTACAAAAAAAAAAGTCGGGAGTATTCGTTTATTCTTCTTGCTATGGCCTTCATTATCTATAGATTGAGTGGTACTTTGGGGTTAGAAGTTAGAACCAAGCTGATTTTCTCACAACTTATTGGGGGAGGAGGGGTGATATCTGAGGCCCGGACCTCGTTGAAACCCAGGACATGTCAAAGGTATAGTGGGCGCCGAATTTTGCTTATGCAGCTCAATCTTTGCATACTTGACACTTTCCTTTTCAAACATCGAGCCCGCGGGTCACGTCCGTGTTATCGACGGGTGTACATGCAGCTCCTGGCCAGACATGCGACCGCCTCTTCCCGCGCACACCATGGACACTAAAATCAAGGCACGAAATGGATGAGGGCTCAATGCGAGATATTTGGGCCGCTTCTAGCTGCAGATATGCGAACCTTCCGGAGTCCGATGGTCTTCAAGGATGGCACCTCACTTCCGAGTTCTTGGTGTAGAACATGTGTCGATCCGATGCGCTGGACTCTTGTCCGTCCAACAAGCCGACACAGGCACATTATGCAAAAGTCAAGTGATCTCTACAGATTAACGGCATATTATCTAGGAACTCAGTATGTTGCACTGATAACTGCACATAAAGTTAAAGGCAGCAAGGCAGTTCGACAAATGTGTATTTTGCTACTCTAAGATACTTATAGAACTCCCATGAAGCGGCCTGAGTGTTCTGAGGGACAAATTCACCTGTCGACGTTGTCACTGCGAGACAGCTCGGCCATCTAGTTGGCGCTACATTCTTCTGTCCGGGGATGCAACTATTGATTCAGCCACGCGAGTTGGATCACCTTGTCCTACTCTTGGACCCCGCCGGTTCCAGAAAAACAGAAAGGCTGGTACGATCAACTCGTAGAAACCAAGCGATGAAGCGCTACCTCCTGGGATCCCAGCATCGAAAGCGGCACCGGCGTTAGCAAGATGGATGACGGATGTGATGCCGGTTATGGCGCCGTGAACGAGCCAATCAAAACACACCATAAGCGCCGTTATTGCTGCACTTGGCAAGTCATGGTCCACACTGTCTTCGGCAGGCTTGTAAGTTATTAGTCGACAGGGATGCTCTTTGCTTCGTCCAACAACCCGTTCGGACAGCCACACGTCATGAAGCAAGGACAAAGAGCGGCTTGAACAGCGTGAATGAGGACCAAGGTGCGTGTTGACAGGTACCATTTGGCACACAGGCTTGCATGGCTAGCTCCAAGTGGCTGATGACCTAGTTACTGCATTGACGATGCAAGCTCCGAGACATTCAACCAACACGCATCATGATCTAGTACGGGACAACTCGCGCAGCTGGGAGCTGATAGATGGTTTACAGAGAATAGATGCATATCATACGACCTGCAGGCCGGTCACATCAATCACCAACATTGTGGATAAATGTCTCCGGGAAAGCCAAAACCAACTGCCTCCCGTTGTGTCCATTGCCAGATCGGGTCGCCTACATGCCTGGTAAAGGCAAGGCCTCCCGCCATAAACGAACCTGTGTGTCAATTATTTTCAACCCAGACGGGGTTTACTTCATTTCCCGCTCATAAACCCCGAAGGACATTATCACAGCACCAGGGCACGTATCCTGGGGCTCTTGCGGCTCGAGAATATTTACTCCCAAGCTGCCCATCACCAATAGACAGTTTACCGGCTGTCTCTACTCAGTCCAGGAGATAAACCATCATGTTGGGGTCGAGCAATAGACTCACCGTCTTCGGTCGAAGGATGTTGGGTGTAAAACACCATAGAGCTGCGAAGCGCGAAACACTTTCCTCGTGAGTTTTTGTGCAACCAGTACCGTGCCTAGGAAAGCAGTACTAGCTAATAGTTGAAACAAGAAACACGAATCATACGGAATCTACTAGCATTGATACGCACGGATTGGCCAATGAGGTGCGACAATAACGCGTTTGCCACAACACGCTGTCAGACATGTTCATGGCACTGGAAAGCTTTATACTTCTGTAGCCAACTTCTTGATTGTCCTTATAGACAATCAACCTCACAAGCTGAACGCTGGGACAAGGGCTATAGAACGAGTCAAGTGAGATTGAAGGTCCAAGGCTCTCTCCTCTTATCACCGAAGCAGCTTCGTATAGTGCGGTACTGACCCTAGCTAGAAGGCAACACTTCCAATACTTGGGATCATGGTCGCTCTGACCATTGTTTCAACGATAGAGGAAAAGCTCTCATTCCATCAACATGGTTAGCTGCATACTATGCAACGGCATGTGTAAGCCAGAGCCTAACCAGCAAGATTGTGACATGTGGTCTCAATGACTGACCGTCTCTTGGAGCAGCGTGCAGAAAAAATTGCTGGCCATGGAATTCCTGCTATGTTGCCATCATGGCATCATTCCCTGGGAACTACTGTTTGCACATGAATGGATGCGCTCGCGGCAATGGGCTCGATTTGCGACTCGTTGGCAGAGTTCCTTGGAGTCAAGGGCTCCCCATTGTCTTGTCGGAGTATCGCCCGGCTATTCACGAAGCACGGAAGCTCAACTCCGTCAGCATGCAGGCCCAGGACCCGCACGGGAAGAAGGGTTCGTGGTAAGGGGACTTGGAGATGCGAGCATGCAGAACCGACTTGCAGGATCAGGCTGTAGAGCCTTTTTGTCGGCAAAGGGATTGACCAGCGTATCCCCGCAGCCTCGGGAGGATGTAGCAACTCCACTTGGCACATGGCAGACGGAACGGTAGCCGGCTCCGGGAAATCCCATGGTTCGGGACCGGCACATCCAATCAGGAACACAGCAATTGCACAAGAAGGTGTTTCTGGACGGCCACAGCGAGAAACTTTTGATGAAACGACGGTCCGAGATACTCCTTGCTTGGGTGCCGAGTGTGGTAGGACTACAGGCTGATAGGCAACCACGAGGTGGTTTTGCATCTGATGGCGAGTCGCGACGGCCACGGACATGGAGCCGTCGTCTGGAACTCGGCAAGCAGCCAGTTCGCTGGCGTTGTCACTTGTGGCCCCCCTGGCCTTCGGCACCATTGACACGGAAAGCCGCGGCGGTACCGTTGCCACAATGCCCGCTCTGGCCGCGCCGCGCCCATCTTTGGCTGATACTCCGTCTGGTTGCCAATCTCTTCGCAGTCCGCGCTAGGTCAGCAAAGAAAATGGCACGTGCCACTAACCTCTGGCGCAAAGACAATTCATAGATATCTGTGCATCAGCTGACCTGCTGCAGCAAATATCCTCCGGGGTCCGCACCTCCTAGTCGGCAAGGGTGCCAGGGGTGTTTTTCAAAGGTTCTATCGTGGAGGTCGGGGCCTTGCCGGAATGTCCAAGTCTGCGACATGCCGTCAGGATTGTGGTACATGATGTTCTGGGTGTGAGACGTTTGTGCCAACAGTTCAATGCCTTGGTGTCCCCGACCCTAGTCCACACCCATGAGATGGCATCTCTGCCGAACATGTATAAAGAGCAACCATCCGGCGCCCTCTTCTGGGGGAAAGAGGGCAGTCACCATCTTTTTATTATAAATACAGAGCAATACTCAGTACCGACGGCTCGCCTGGCGCAAACAATTCTTCTCTACATCACCTCTCAACATCACCCAACCTAATACGGAATACAACTTGTCCTACTGCGCCAAAAACACAACCGTTGACTCGACATTTTACCAACCATGTCTTCCAACTCTTTCTTCCTTCCTCTGGCTCCCACCACCTCTGCTTCCTACCCCCGAGCACCAGCCAGCCGTACCTCCCCTCGCGTAGTTGCGGCAGATATGGCCCCTGCTCCAGAGCCAGTTCGTCGACGATCCTCCAGCTCCAGCAGCGGCGGCTTCAGAGTCCTCAAGCTCAGCCCAGTGCATTGGGGCGAGCACCTTGATGACCACAAGGAGGACTTTCACGAGGCTACAACTGTGTAACTGCGCAGTACTAGCCATTTTCTTTCTTTCTTTCTATTTATTTTGTTTTGGTCCGTCTGTCCCCCGCCCCCCCCGTCTATGGGCATTGGCACCAAGGACATGACGTGGGGCATGGGAAGAAGCACACAATCAAGTTTGTCATGGAGTGCCACAAAAAGGCAGCGCAATCAAGCAAAGCGTGAACAAGGTCTGGGAATGGGAAACAAAGGATTCATCATGTAAGGAGTTAAAAACACAGCGACAACAGATAAGCAAGCAACCAATGAGAAGTTTATGGGCTACAAACCATCTGCCATGCACGTGTGTCTCACAGTCAATCCATGGGCCCCAACCAGGTCCAGCTTGTAGAACCCTCAAGAGCACCACACAGTCACTCATGCAGTGACGGAAATGGCAGCTTCCAGCGCCACACGCACGCACGCACTCGTATCTGCATTGTAGTTACTGAGTGGTGAAAGAGGGGAGACAAAAGAGGTCCGGCCCCCGTTTCTCGCCAGCTCATCAAAGAAGAAGTTGACGAGTTTTCTCGCGCAAGACGCGGGGCGGACTCGCTGTGGGCAGGCAGCAAGAAGGCGCAGAAACAGGAAATCTGGACCAAGAGCAAGACAGATCAGATAGCACACCTACCTCTTTTCTTTGTTGGGAGATGGGAGGCCGGGGAACAAGAAGATGACGAGTAGTATACTACGTCAACGAATGCGGCCGATGCGAAAATTACTCGTCCAGTCCATCGTGCAAGGCGGTCGGTGCGCTTTGTCGCCAGAAACACCAAAACCGCAGATCCCCCCCCCCTTCCATTCATCAATCATTACTGAGCAGCTCGTCGACAGACGACGTGGAGCCTGATTGGCAAGCCTACATGGAGATAAGGCCCGTCACGTCACGGCGCGCACATCCATCACACACGCCAACAGGGGAAGGGTGATCTGCTCCTGACGCCGGGAACCTGCCAGTTTGCTGCTGCTGTCCGCGTTGGCTGGGCTGGCTTGCGTCTTGCGTCTTGGGGGGGCCATCTCATCTCATCTGCCAAGGCGCAAGATTGCTCCGAACCAAGCCAGGGAAAACCCTGTTCCCGGTACCACTTCTACCGCTAGTACTACCACTACCGTGCCATTTTTTTGGGGTTATTTTTGAACCTGCTACAGACCTCGTTCTCACCTGTGTATGTACATGGTTGCGGTGTAAAACAACAAAGCTTATTTGTGTTGCCTTTCTTGTGACGTGGCATTGCATTTTGTGCTTCTTCTTCCCTCTTAGTCCCTCTCCTTCCCTCTCAATCTCAAACACACCGAGGCAACGGGAAGGATCTGGGATTCTCTGGCGCCGGGGAAGCGGATAAGGTTATCATTTGAGTGAGACATTCGAGTCGCACTGGTGTTCTGGACTGAATCTTTGGGGGGGACAGACGTGGTCTTTGCGGGGGCTGTGTTTGATTTTTGTGTTGAAGATCCTCCTTGGCGGTTTAAGATTATAATGGTTGACTGGTTGCACTGGCTGGACTGGGTGTCACTGTGATACGCACTCGGTGGTTTTGTGTCGCTCCAGCGGAGGTAGTAGTGGAATGTCTGAGATTGCTGACTGACCGAGTCAGTTGGTGTTGGAGCCCTTGTTTTTTTTTTGGGTTTCCCTGGACCGCTGTCATGTTGAAAAGTTTGGACTGCTTGGTAATGGATGATGATGCAAGCCAGACTCGTCCGAGGTCTGTCCAAAACCCTCCGATGTGACCAGACACCTTGCCCCCCCGGGCGCTGGGTGTCGTACGGTGAGGCTGGTCACCGAGCTACGTTGGCCTTGCCACCGTCCCTCAAAACAGCCACCTGTCTCCCCTCGGGGTCGAGCTGTTTCACGATGCTGGCCCAATCAATCTGCACGAGGTCGGCCGACGCGTCGCGGTCCGGAACGGTGATTTGCAGGAGTAACGCACCGCCAGCCGTCGCCGAGACCCACAGACGGGCGGTCCGAAGATATGGATGGATCCATGTCGGAGAGGAGGGACAAGACGCCCGCCAGCGGGGGACGTGTGAATATGCTGCCCTCCCGAGCTGCTTGTGCCCTTGTGCCGCCGTGTCGGGCGGCTGCTTCGTGTTGCTCAAGTTGGCTTAGTCGGCACCTGAACAGCTCGTTGATAACCTCATTTGGATACTCGAATGCATAATACGGGTATGGTTGTAATACTCCATCTTGGCGCCTTCCTCGGGTGTAATAGGGTCATGATTTAAAGATAGATGGGTTAAGATTCCGCTTCAACAATTATATTCTGAAAGAGGCAGGAATACTTATCAATATTGATGTCTCCCTGTACTGTTCCGGCGCCGGTCCGAAGATATGGATGGATCCATGTCGGAGAGGAGGGACAAGACGCCCGCCAGCGGGGGACGTGTGAATATGCTGCCCTCCCGAGCTGCTTGTGCCCTTGTGCCGCCGTGTCGGGCGGCTGCTTCGTGTTGCTCAAGTTGGCTTAGTCGGCACCTGAACAGCTCGTTGATAACCTCATTTGGATACTCGAATGCATAATACGGGTATGGTTGTAATACTCCATCTTGGCGCCTTCCTCGGGTGTAATAGGGTCATGATTTAAAGATAGATGGGTTAAGATTCCGCTTCAACAATTATATTCTGAAAGAGGCAGGAATACTTATCAATATTGATGTCTCCCTGTACTGTTCCGGCGCCGGCTAACCCTCAGCAGATCGTAACAACAAGGCTACTCTACTGCTTACAGGACCGTTTCGCACTGACAGCTAAGTCGTCTGCAAAGTATTTGACCCCGCTCGTGGTGAAATTACAATATTGACGCGAAATACCGCTGCGCGGTACTGCGCGCTTCCCGCCGCTCAACTTTGCGGCCTGCTGGAGCGGCGCGCCCATGCCCGAACAAAACGAACCAGGCGTTTTGCAAGTTAATAGACACAGTCAAACAAATGATGGCACCGTGTCCAGCCAAGGTTCCATTATTCTCTTACGCTCTACACCTCCCCGGACCGGCACTGACAATGTGGAGGCAGTCGTCCTGCTGCAGTTGCGTAACGCGTCACCACCTGAACGCACATTGACTCGCAGCGCACGGTTAATGCGTCAATGAGCATTGATTCTGTATTAAAGATAGCCGTTGTCAACAAACGCCTTTGTGTGGCTATGAAGAATCGCAAACAAAGTCTGTGCAATCATCTACAGACCTCTACGGACCGACAACAAAGGATAGCCAATCAAGGAACATGGTGTTTTGATGGCTTTCATTCCATTCACTATCCAGGCCCGTTATCCTGCCAGGAGCCGGCAGATGCTGCGGGACTTGATGCTATCTGCTCTAAACGAAAGTCAAAACTCTTATACGATGTCGTCCCTACGCTGCACTGCGTATGTAATCCTAGCGTAGATGGCGTGCATTGCATCTCTTTGGTCACATGGCAATATTTGCAGGTCCCTGATCCTTCGCCACTTTGGTCCATCGGAATTTTCGGTCATGTAGTTCGTCGATCGCTTGTATGATCCCAGCGACAAGATATCTTCAGTGTCTATTTGGTGAATATGGACTGGCCATTCATTATCCAGCGCAGAACTAAATGGATCTGACTTGGAATGGGCCGCCGCGCAGCCTTAGCTTTGACTGATCACGAGGCGTGTGGCATCAAGTTTGCGATGCCTTTTGGCCTTCCTGCCTGCGAAATGTTCCCTGAAAGCTGTTATAATATGGTTCGCTCAGGGGAGAGCTTTTTTCCTTCCCCGGCCCCCCCTGGCAGCGCCGCCCTTCTTGGTGGTCACCGTGTCTACAGGCCCGTCGATGTCGCTTTGGCCCTCGCCAGGGCTCCTACGTCTCATGGTGCCGGTCGATACAGCAATAAACTCGTCCTCACTATCACTTTCCCCAAGGTTAAACAGAATAGGCATACGAAAACTGTCGATATCGTCATCAAACTTGGTAGGGTCCAACGTGAGGACGTCCACATCTTCGTCTTCCGCATCAAGTCGTCGTCGATGAATTTCTTCCTGTGCATATATATCAAACTCATCCTCTCTCTCAATATATTCGACGTTCTCCTCCACTTCAGCAAAATCGGGGGCCAGCGCTGACCACTTTTGAGGGCTGATGACGGACCAGATGTATATCCGACCTGTTTCCAATCCACAGGCTGCGAGGAGCGCCCGTGACGGATGCCATTCAATGACGCCTTGTTCTTCTTTAGGGTCCTTAAGCATACATACCAAGCTCCCATGGTTGCGTTCCCAGACATAGAGTTCGTGGTTGTTGTAGGTCGATGCGGCTACATATTCGCCCGTCGCACTAAATGTGACGTGATTCCACGACAGCTTGTTGACGACGTCTTGAAATTTGTGTTCGAGGGGTAGTTGTATTGTGTCGAGATCCAAATCGTCTACCGAGAGATTGGGTATCCTGAAAGTGCGGATAATGCGGTCCTGCGAGTTGACAAGCAGGTCGCGACCTGCGCCAGTGATGCGCAGTGTGGTTATAACTCCAGAGCAAACTTTCTCTGAATAAATGATTTCAAAAGTCTTTGTATCAATGAGGTTGATTTTGCCCTTGCTTGTACCGGCAATTATATGGTCGCCGGTCGAGGTCCAAATAGCCGACGTCGTCTTTTCTTTGGCGTCTTCCTTTGCCTGTTTCTCTCTTTGTGCAGCGCTTCCTTCAGAATTCGTCCTCTTGGGCACAGATGGAAGGATATGCTTGACATCGACAAGGTCGGTCATGTCTACTAAAACCGGTTGTTCTTCGAAGAGCGACGCGACGAACTGCAGGCTGTTTCTGTTAGCCACTTGCGCCCAAGGTGTTTGAGCAATGAACTCACTGATTCCATGGATGAAGCTCAGCCATATACGCTGGCGCACGAAAGCGCACCTCGCGCAATCTCTTGCCATCCTGGAGATCCCATAAAATAGCCTTCCACCCTTGACAGGTGGACAGCAAGTATCTTCCGCATCGTGACCAGCTCAAAAAGGTTATACTCTTACTGTGGCCTCTCAATTTCCGTGCCACTCCCATCGTCTCCAAGTCCCAAATAGCGACGGCGCCATCAACTCGGCCGGAGGCAAGGTAGTCACCCTTGCGATTGAATCGAACCACCGTGGCATGACCGGATCGTATGGTGTTGGTGATGCTCTCAGGATAGTCCTGGAGCAGGTAGTCGTCCGACAGCAGCAGGTTCATCGTCGCGATTGCCGCGAAATCATCTCAGATGGGCTCTGAGGCTGGAGGACAAGACATACGGTCATCAATAGGCGTGCAAGCAGTATATTGACGTGCTTGAAAAGTACTTGAGAATTACTGTAGGGGCCTTGCCGCCACCTTGGCAAATGCGCAACGCGTTGGCTCAATCTAATCGTTTGGCACGATAGGAGTGGGTCAAGGTGCTGTCTGATTGCACCTGCCCTTTGGTGGTAACTGAGGGGCATTGCCTTTCAATGTTGGCAAGAGCGCTGAACTCTCAACTTGATGGGAAGGAACAATCCAGTACGGTTGACCCCACCGCGGGGAGCTCAACTTTCTCATCGCTGACTCTGATAAAAATAATAAAACGGTCCATCTTGCACGACTACTGCTGGTACCCACGGTTACATAGCTAGCATGGCAAACTCCAAGTAAGCGATATATACTGGTGAACTTCGTTGTCGCGTTGAGACTGCTGATGCCCCGCAAGATTTGAATATGTTCGAAACTTCGAGCAACCAGACCCATTACTGCCAAACACATGGATCGTGGTTCGTATCGATGGACGCGCCTTCACAAAGTACCAACCCCCTAGAGGCTAGCATGTTGGTCAAACAATTCTGATTTACCGGATGCCAGGATGTGCGCAAAGTACAAGTTTCAAAAACCCAACGATCGTAGAGCTTTAGATCTCATGAACGTAGCCGCCATGGCTGTTGTTACGGATATCCCCGAGATCATCATAGCATACGGTGTCAGTGACGAGTATAGGTAGGAAACCTGTCCCTTTCACATGAATACGCACAAGCCTGATAGTTGAATAGTTTCGTCCTCCACAAGTCCTGTGACTTGTTTGAGCGACGTGCGAGGTACGTAGCTCTTCGCAATCGTCTGCAAAGCTCAAAATTAAGGTCGATGCAGCAAGTTGGTCAGCACCATCGTATCTACCTTCACAGCGAATTACGTATTTTCGTGGCCCACATGCTTCCCCGATACGCCACTCTCCTTCCCTCTACCAACTTTCGATGGCCGAGCAGTATGTTACCCAAGTGTCCAGAATCTACGTGACTATTTGAGTTGGCGGCAAGTAGACTGTATGTTCACGCATTATCATGCCCTTCTTGCATCAACTAACCAATTAGGTCACATAAACAATTTGTATAACACTACATTCTGGTCCCTCGTCCAGCTTGGTGGGCTTGACAACAAGGATGCTGAAAGAACACTAGCCGTATGTTATCTCTCTATTTGCACGCCGACGTCGTCTGATGGCATGTTAGGGCACCTTGGCAGCAGACAAAAACGAGATACTATTTTCCAGATTCCACATCAACTACAATAACGAACCGGAAATATACAAGAAGGGCAGCGTCATATTCAGAGATGTACTTAAATTATTCCTCGTCTTCCTCTTCAACTATACCAACTACATTTGACTACTCTGGCTAACAAACATCGGCAGTATGAACTAGTCGATCCCGGTAGTCACTCGGTTGCTGCAGAGATGGACGATTTGGCCGAGCCTGTAACACAATCGAAAACTCAGACTGAAAAAGATAAAAAGAGAAGGGCTAAGGCGCGGGTCGTGGTACAGCACTTGGACATCATCAAAGATGACTTCTGGGATAGAAGACCGTGGATATTATCGAATAAGCCAGGAAAAGCTCCAAAGGAAACATAGAACACGATCTGGTGATCGAATTGAATAGAAGCCAAACGAACATTTATAGACAACACAGTTTCGCTACGCACATCCCAAAAATACTTGAACGGCCAGATGAAGAGAACTGTGACGATTATCAACTTTGACAAATCTGGACATTGAAAGCGATATCCGTTTTCTACCATAAGAGACGGCTTCGGTATTCAAGATCCTCAACATACGCAAGACTAAAAAATGTGAGGACCATAATACGAATTGATTAGTTACAAGCCATACGCTGATGGACTTTTGGTCGTCATATATGGGACGTTCTGCAACCTTATTTCCGCCTAGCACCTCGTAATAAGGCAACCTTATTCATATTTGCCCCCAGTCAAGTCAAGCCAAAACAGGGGTAATAGTTTCTTGGACTTTTCCTTCATAAAGGGAATGTTATCATGGCAGATACTTGGCACAAGTGGAGGAATGGTCTCGCAGGAGCTTCCGCGCACAAGAAAAATGCACGCGAGAAACGGTGGGTATCAAAGGTCAGAATCAGGTGCATCACCTATCTGGTTCGTGTCTATTGTCAATTGTGGCTCGCTTAGAGTTTTCTCCCTCGTACATAGACAAATCCAATCCTGAAAGAAGGAACTGTAAGACGCGTCGAGCCAAATATGACAAGACCAAAATCGCGACAAATCATTGGCATTATGGTCAAAACAGTTCGAGCACGGACAGCTACTAACATGGCGGAACACGCAGGCCCTGTTCCAGAGAAGCAGAATACCCAGCCATGGCCGAGCCAGCGGCATCGAAAGTCCCCAGCCAATACAATACTCCAAACCAAAAACGCCATGCTATGCAATGCCCCAAGAACTTCTCCCATGTAAACAATGAACCCGTTAACAACAAGCAACCTGCACTTTACTGTGCTCCCTCCTTTTTGCTTCTTTCCTGGCCCTCCGCTCCTCTTTCGTCCGCCGTCTCTCGGCCTTTTGGTGTACCTTGTCCTCCTTCAGCCTTTTTTTCTCCTCCTTCCTCGCTGTCCGCTCTCCCCTGGCTTCCACAAACGCATCCTCTTCTTTCTGCCGTTTGGCCTCCTTCTTCAGTCTCTTCTCCTCCTTCTCTTTCCTCCTGGCCGCCTTTTCCTCCTTTAACCGCCTCTTCTCTTCCTTTCGGGCCCTCTTATCCGTCTTGGCCTCAGGCTCACTTGTCTTAGGGGTGCCGCCGCTCTCATCCTCACTTGAACTCTCACTCGTGAGCAAGGTCGCCTCTAGAAACCCCCCGCGGACAAACGATGTATACAGAGAATATTTGCCCAGGGAGCCCTTCTCAATGGCGTTTAGTTTGCCCGTCTTCACAGTCTGTGTGACTTTGCCTTCTTTGGACGTCTCGAGGCCCTGGAGTTGTTCGTCAAAGGCGTTCAACCACCACTGGTCGCTGGTGAAGTGTGATGTGGTTCCGATGCCCTTGCGGTTGTCTTTGCGGTTGAGGAGGAGGGGCTTCGCGAGGCCGATGGAGTTGTCGGTTTTGTGGAGGGAGTGACCCTTGCCTCTCCAGCCTTGGCTGGTGAGGAGGGCGCTGGCGTCCATGATGTCCCTGTGAAGTACGCGACGAGGGTTGTGAGTGTTGGGTATCGTGGGATTCGAGATGGTGGTTTGGGGTTGGTTTTGTGGCAGGCGAAGATGGCATTTGGGATTTTTTTAGTGGGGCGGGCCGCGATAGGCTTATCGTGTGTGTATGAACCGTAGTGCCATGGATGAAGAATGCAGGCTACCCTATACTTCACCTGTGTGATTTCGGCGTTGTCGTCCAATGGCGTTGAGGAGAATCGTGTCGTTGTTTTTTTTTTTTTTTTCTCCCTAGAGCTTTAGTCTTGTTCGTATACTTCAGAGGTCATTTTGGGGTACTGGTTCAGTAAACCGTTGAGCCAAGTGTGTCATTAAGAAGTTGTTGCGACCAAGACTTGTCAAGCAGGTTTGCACGTAGCATATATTCCACAACCACCTGCGTCGTGCTCGATGAGGCCTTGTTCTTGTGAGAAGCTCAGAGCGATGGAGGGAGTTGATACGAGAAAGTCCACTTATAGTCCCGACTCCCGAGTGACACCGCTGGCCCACCAAAGCTCGTAGCGACGTCATTCCCGCAACGTCGGCGACAAAACATCCAACCTTCCCAGACCTGACTACTCATGCCAGGAATCCGAAGCGGTCGACATAGTGCTATCGACACTTCAGTTTACAACACATCGGACAATTACCTGTTACGGAATTGACTGACCCAACAAGAGCTGGCCTCGCCAGTGCGTGACGTATCAAACTCTCCGTCAGACGCAACCCCAACCTCCGAGTCCCAGCTTCAGTCAGCCAGCCTTCACCTCGGCACAACTTCCAACTTCCAACCCAACGCCAACCAGATACAGCCCGTCACAAAAACCCAAACTACTCCCTAAATGACACTCACATAGCCAATCGACCCTCAAGCGCCCGTCAAAGAGCCTTCCTTGGCCATCATGGCGCCCCTCTGCGCAGACCCGCGGCAGATCGTCATCGCCCTCAACCCCGCGAGACGAGCCGCTCTCCTGCATCTCATTGAAGAAATCATCGCCTTCATGACCCTGCAGCTCGTCAACCCCCCCGATGAACTAGGTTCACTCACCGGCTCAGATGAGGATGCCCAATCCTCCAGTCCAGCTCGAAAAGCGACGCCCCAGAAACCAACTGGCAAGGCAGCACAGCAAATCGAACAGATCCAAAAAGCAGCCATGAAGTACATGCAAGACTGGAGAGCCAGCTTCCTGCCCAAACTAGAAGAAATCATTCGCGTCGAGGACACGCCCAAGATCAAAGAGGAGCGCAAAAACCGCCAAGACGCCCTCGATAAGAAGAAGCTCGACACGCCCGAGGAGGGCGAGAACCTCATCAGCTTCGGCGACGTGCAGGTCGACAGGTCCGAGGACGTGGCGGCACTCCAGAAACTATACCATCCCATACCCACGAGGTTGACTACGGTGCCGGCACAGGACCGTCGAGAGGCCCTTGGTTGCGTGCTGCTGCTGCTTCTGTCCACGGGCAAGTACTCGGCGCACTCCCGCACCATGATACTACATCTTGCGTCGGCGCTCGAGATCCCGCAGACGTTTGTGAACAAGGAGGAGGCCGAGATTGCTCACTCGCTCATGGAGTCGTCCACCGCCGACAAGGACAAGAAGGAAACCATGTCTGCCGAGGCCGAGGCCGAGAAGCGAAGGCAGCAGAACAAGTTCAGTCGCTTCTGGAAAGTCGGCCTGGCAAGCGTAGCAGGCGCGGCGGTTATCGGTGTGACCGGCGGTCTAGCTGCGCCGCTCGTAGCTGGCGCGATAGGCGGCATCATGGGCGGCGTGGGATTAGGAGGCGTGGCCAGCTTCCTGGGGATATTCTGGATGAATGGCGCCTTGGTTGGCGCTCTGTTCGGGGCATACGGCGCCAAGATGACTGTTTGTCTCCCTTTCCTGCTTCTTTTCTTTTTCTGTATATTCTCATTGCCGAAACCGCAGTCCACTAACACGCCCAGGGTGAACTCATGGACAAGTATGCCAAAGAAGTAGAAGACTTCAAATTCATCCCGCTCTCCACCACGGGATACGGCCCCGACTTCCAGCGCCCTCCGGATGAAAACTCTTCTGCCAAAGAAACCCGCAGACTCCGCGTCACCATCGGAATAAACGGCTGGCTCAACGACGAATCGGACATTGTCACTCCCTGGCGCGTGCTCCCATCTTCAGAAACAGAGGTCTTCGCGCTCCGCTATGAGATGAAGACCCTCCTCAGCCTGGGCACCGCCCTCCAAGACCTCGTCCAGTCCTTTGCCTGGAAGACGCTCAAAGTCGAAATCATCAAACGAACCGTTCTGGCCACCCTCTGGGCCGCCCTCTGGCCCATCCAAGTCCTCGCCGCCGCATCAAACGTCGACAACCCCTTCAACCGGGCGAGCAACCGGTCCAAAAAAGCAGGCCGCCTGCTCGCCGACGCCCTCATCAACAAAATCCAAGGCGAGCGGCCCGTGACCCTCATCGGATACTCACTCGGCGCCACCGCCATCCACGCATGCCTACAGTCCCTCGCGGAACGCAAGGCCTTTGGCCTCATCGACAACGTCGTCATCATCGGCACACCGGCCCCCTCCGACGCAGCTCACTGGCGAACACTGCGCTGCGTCGTCTCAGGAACCATTTTCAACGTGTATTCCGAAAACGACATGATGCTAGGCTTCGTGTACCGCATGCACAGCCTCGCGCTGGGCGTAGCGGGCCTCCAGGCCATCGAGGGCGTCCACGGAGTCCAGAACCTGGACCTCAGCGAGAAAGTGAGCGGCCACCTGCGCTACCCTTCATTGACGGGCGAAATCCTCAAGGAATGCGGGTTCACGGGCGTCCACGCCGGCGGCGAGATCGAAAAGGACGACCTGATTCGGATGAAGGACGACCACGCCGAGGGCAAACTCGTCGACCTTGACGCCGTCGCCGTGGGGGAACCGCAAAGGAAGGACAGCAGAGTAGCCCATGATTTACAGGGCTTGACAATCTCCCCGCCGGCCCTGTCGCCAGGTGAGTCTGAACGGCCCCCTCTTCCGGCACGTCCTGCGGGGACAGCAGAACCGAGGCGGCGCGAAGACGAGCCGGACTCGGATGACTCGCCGGTGAGAGCGGAACACAGGTCCCTCCACGAGGGCTTCGACGACCCGCCTTTGGTCGAGAGAGGCGGCAGGTGGAAGCGGGAACAGACGCCGGAATCCAACGATGGCGACGACGGGGAGTTTATGGCCATCAAGATGGAGGATAATGACGACGACGACGACGACGACGGTCATGACAAGCCGATCAAGCACTAGATAGAAGATGCATCTTGGCATCATGTAATAACCACCTAGCCTGAACCCGCGCAGCGTTCATCAAGACGATAGAAACATGCAGTTTACAAGTACACACGTATGATACAGACATAGACACGCCAAGAAAAAGACGGTATCAATTTCAACCCCGTATTGGGACTCATTTC